GAGAGAGAGAGAGAGAGAGAGAGAGAGAGAGAGAGAGAGAGAGCAGTAGTCTGAAGATCTGTGCACAGAAGGTAGGCTTACCGATGCTGAGGAAATGTAGCTTCCTTCCTGGAGGCAGATGAGATGACTATAAGGAAGGAATGAGGGAATTTATTTGAGGGGGTCTTTGTCCCCCTTGTGGGGAGATTTACTTTCAAGTTTTTGAAGAAGGAACCAGGATAGTTTGTTATTAAAAATAAAACTAAAAAATGACAACTCTCCAAACTATCTCAGAAGGTGGGTGTGAAGGAGGTGTCTGGAAGTACCTAAGAGGGTGATTTATCTGGCCGTGGTTGTGTGGTGGCACTGGGTGTAGTAATACAGGTAAAACGAGCTGTGATAGAGGACCAATGCATGTTCCTTGTGTGTATTCAGTTTGCAGTGTGAAACAAACATGGAAGTAGAGATACACTGATGATAGTTAAATTATCTAGATCGACTTCAATTCATCTCAGAAGATAAGGTCTACAGAACAATTCAATAGTTCCTGCATACTTGCTCTGATATCAGGCTCTGCCCTAAGCGCCAGAGATCCTGTTCTCCCAGAATTCCAAGGAAGTGGAAAAGGCAATCATTAAAAATTGACAAATATGTGATAAATGGACTTGATTATATCAGACTGTAGTTGTTCCTGTTTTGTTTTGTTTTTATTGCAGCTCATCTCAGAACTCTGCTGACTATGTAGAAATTCACGGTCTGTTAAAATCACCCTGTGTTTCCCAATATTTACATTTAAAACTATGGAGCAACTTTCCTCATTTAGCCAAATTTTAAGTTGATGCCTTAAATTGGATATCAAAATATGTACGCTTCTATCCAAAGCCTTAAGGATAGCTGTGGCTAATCCCCAGCAACATTTTTGGATTAATTAATAATAAATTGTGCTATACAAATCTTGCTTGATGAGTCAAATCTTAGCAGTGGTTCTTTTATTTTTCTTACATATATGTCTGTGCCTACATATTTGAATACTGTTAATTTAAAACTAAAACTATGCTCAATGAGGAACATAAATGAACATTTCCCCATTACACACTGCACTTAATGTCTTTAAGTCACTTACTGAAACCTTGCAACCTTTTATAGGACTGCTTTGTTTTTATTCCCTTGTTCATTGGGTTACAAGGATGTAGGGCAGTGTTGTGGTTGCAAGTGCACCAAAGGCAGGAAAACCTGTGCCATTCACTCCTCTCTGCCTGTATTCCTCATTGGTTGCCTGTGGATTTGGGCTCTCAGCCTGTATTCCTCATTGGTTCTGTGGATTTGGGTGAGCAGTCCCCCTAGATCCTCTGATTTAACTTTCTTCTCTCTCACTTCAGTTAAAGTTTCCCTTGTTTCATTCACAACTTCACATCCCAAACTATTACTCCATTCCCTAAGCACTCTGACCAGCTTACCTATCTTGATTTAGCACTGCAATTAGTAATTGAGGGTTCCATCAAAGAAACTATAATCTACTTTCCGTGTGTAGGCTTTCTAATTGGTGGTTAGGTTAATAGCCATGTTTTAGAGGTTGTCTCTTTAATTGACATTGGCATAGTTGTAACATTTAAAAAAAAAAACAAAAAAACAAAAACAGTTCTCTTCCATCAAACACCAGCCTATCCATTCTGACCTCTCAGTTTCGAAAGTATGTCTTACTCCAGGAAGCCTACATTTTTAAAATATGCTACATAAGGAGTTATTTGACAAAAACAAAACAAACAAACAAAACAAAACCTTTTTTAAATATAGGAGATCCTCCAAAACTTCCATTGCCCTTGAAATAAGGTATGATCACTTTACAGCCCTACCAGGAAGGTTTTGTTGTTGAAAATGCACTGTGGTTGATGTTCATTTGGCTGTTAGTTAGTTTCTCAGACCTCTTGTTCTTTACTTCATGGTTTTGGAAATATTCTTTTTTTATTGTTTTTTTGTATACGGGTGTTTTGCCTGCATGTGTGTATGTGTGAGGGTGTCAGATCCCCTGGAACTGGAGTTACAGACACATGTATGGTACCATGTGGGTGCTGAGAATTGAACCCAGGTACTCTGGAAAAATGGGGCTTGCTCTGTGCTCTTAATGACTGAGCCATCTATCCAGCCCTTTTGGAACTGTTCTTAATGATTTGACATTATTAAGTGTCAGCTATGGATTGTACATTGTGTGAAGTGCCGAGTGAAATCTCTGGGTAAAAAGATCTTGACTCACAATTAAATTATACTTTCATCAGGGCACCAACTGAGCTCCATCTACTTGAAATATGATACTGATCTCTGCTACTATGAGGATGCTACTGATTTATATTAATACATAGTTTATGTAAGTAATTAAAATATGACTGTTGTGGAATATTATTTTAACTGGCATATTTGTTTATGCTGCAGAATATTATTTTAACTGTGTAAAGGTGTGTTACATTTGATTATGCTGAATTTATTTAACGATGGAAGGACATGAGTTTGTTTCATCTTTGCTGTCTAAGAAACCTGAATGGTCTTATAAAGAGCTGAATGGTCAATAACTAGGCAGAGAAAGGATAGGCAGGTCTGGCAGGTGGAATAAATAGGAAGAGAACTCTAGGTTTGAGAGGAGAGAAGAGAGGAGAGAATGAAGGAGATGCCTGGGGCCAGCCAGGCAGCTGCTAGCCAGCCAGACATGAAAAGAAGTGAAAGTAAAATATACAAAAGTAAAGTAAAAAGCCTTGAGGCAAAAAGTAGATTAATTAAAGTTACTTTAAGTTAAAAGACCTAGCCACAAAAAAAAAGAGCCTAAGCTAGACTGAGCATTCAAAACTAATAAGAAGTCTCTGTGTCTTGATGTGGGAGCTGGTTGGTGGCCCAAAAGATAAAGCCTGGTACATATGACTCTCACAATAACAACAATTGTTATTAATATCTATGTAGTGGGATAAGTATTGTGCACTCCAGTTCATGTCCACCTGGTCCTCAGAATATGACTTATTTGAAAGTATGCTTTGTCCCAAATCTGATTAGTGTTCCTTGTAACAGACATATACCCCCCCCACACACACACACCCAGCACACACACATGGTTACAGTTGTACATTCACAAACCAAGGAATGCCAAGAGCCACTATAAGAATCTTGGCGATTTAAGAGAAGATTTTCTTGGAGCCTTTGGAGGGAGCTTGGCTCTGCTGGGACCTTGATTTTAGTTTCCTGGCCTTCAGAACTGTGAAAGAGTGAATGTCTGTTGTTTAAAGCTGCCAAACTTATGGTAATGCAGGAACTCTAGGAGACAATACCATCTATGTCTTAGCAGAGCAGCATGAAGATCCCCTCCCTCAACCCTGTCCCCTGCTCCATCTCTAAGATGTCGAAAATGTTTACAGGGGACCATGGAAACCATATTTTCTCTGATTGGCTCATCATCCAAGTATCAAGTTTCCATTGAATTTAGTTACAATAGAAAAAATCTTCAAATTCATTTCAGAAAAACTCAAAAAGGAAATGAATAATCTTACATAGTAGTGATATATTATTTATGATTTATTAAAGCTTGCCTGAGGACAAAGTCAGCCACAAGTCATAGGAGCCAGGCACACACCTTTAATCCCAGCAGCCAGAAACTAGGAGGTGGTGGTACACACCTTTAATACTAGGACTCAGGATTAAGAGATAGATGGATCTGTGTTAGTTCAAGACCACCCAGGCTTACACAAGATTGAATCAGTCTAAAAGAGTAACAGAGCTCACACCTTTAATCCCAGGACTCAAGAGAGGTATTTAAAACAGGAACAGTCAGTATGGGGCAGTCCTTCTCCAGCCACACTGAGGAGAGGCAGCAGTTTGAGACTTGGTGAAGAGCTCCTTAGTGGATCAACCCATTCAGCCTGAGCTAGAGGTAGAAGCTTTGCTTCCCTGATTTTCAGCTTGAAC